GCTGGATGTGGCAGGGACCGTGGGACCCTCAAGACCCCCCGCTCCACGGGGGAACGGGCTCACCAGGGTCAGCCAAAGGCAACCGCCGCGCGAACCGCGGCCGCGGAGATGTGGGGACCAACGGGCGGCAGGACTGAGGGCGGCTTCGGTCAGGCTTTAATCACTCCGTGACGCAGCGCAGCGAGGCAGGGGTTAAACGGGGGGACGGGGCTCCCCGGTTCTGCCACTGCAGCCCAGAGAGCCGGATCCAGCCGAACCCCCCGCAAGGCTGAACCTGCCCGGGGTGGGGATGGCGGCTTCGTCCCTCCCTGCGCTGTCACCCGTGCCCGCGCCGTGCCAGCCCCTCTGCTCCAGCGCCGGGAAGAGCCCGTCCCCAGGGGCGGGGGCTGCCGGAGGCACCGGGGTGCGTGGCAGGGGGTCCGGGTGCCACCGCGGCTCCAGCCAGGATCAAGCTGGGAATTGGTGCAGGTCTGGCCAGGATCATGTTGGGAATTGGTGTGGGTCTGGCCAGGATCGTGTTGGGAATTGGTGTGGGTCCAGCCAGGATCGTGTTGGGAATTGGTGTGGGTCTGGCCAGGATCGTGTTGGGAACTGGTGCAGGTCTGGCCAAGATCAAGCTGGAAATTGGTGTGGGTCCAGCCAGGATCGTGTTGGGAATTGGTGTGGGTCTGGCCAGGATCGTGTTGGGAACTGGTGCAGGTCTGGCCAAGATCAAGCTGGAAATTGGTGTGGGTCCAGCCAGGATCGTGTTGGGAATTGCCGAGGTCCCGGCCAGAATCGAGCTGGGATTTGCCGTGCACACCGACGGGATCGAGCTGGGGATTGCTGTGGGTTGGGGTCGAGTTTGTCATCGCTGTGGGACCTGCCGGGAGGGAGGTGGGCCAGATCCGTGCCGGCAGCGCCGCAGCCCCCAGCTCCTGCCTGGAGGGACCCCCCCCCCCCCCTCCCCAAAGCAGCGCCGCTGGCAAGGGACCGCGGAGCAGCAGCCGGCACGGATCTGACCCCGCACCGGCGGCGGGACCGGCTACGGGGTCGGCCTCACGCCGGGCTCTGCCAGCCGCTCTCCCGGCCGGGCGCAGGCAGCTCTTGCAGGACCCCCCCCCCCACCTCACCCTCGCCGTTCCTGCGGCAGCCGTTCGAACCGCAGCCGTCCCCGCCGCATTCGTCCCCGCAGCGCCGCCGGCAGAGGTGGCCGCAGGCGCTGGGCCGCGGGCAGGGCTCCTGGCAGCGCCAGCGCTCTGCCGGCACGTGGCACGGCACGTGCTGCCGGTGGCCGCAGCGCTCCAGGACCTTCTCCACCTTCTTGAGGCAAGGGCCGCACTCCTGCCAGCAGAGCTTGGGGCAGGGGTGGCCGTGCTGGCACGGCAGCCGGGCGCAGGGCAGGCTGCATCGAACCTGCCGGTGCTCGGGGTCGCGCGGGTGGCAGTGGCGCGGGCAGGGGTGGCCGCAGGGCAGCGGCGTCTGGCACCGGCGGGTGCAGCCGCCCTCGGGGCTCTGCCTGAAGCCGGAGGCGTCCCGCACCGTCACCGTCACCTCGGGGTGGTTTTGGCAGGTCAGCGCCAGCCCGTCGCCCACCAAGCCCTTGCTCTTGAGGGCGGCCAGGATCTCGGCCCAGAGCTGACCGCCGGCGCCCCGCGCCATGCCCTCCAGGTCGCCGATGCAGTAGAAGCCCTTCCTGGCGCGGGAGAAAGCCACGCAGACGCGGTGCCGGTCCCTGAGGAAGCCGATCCGCCCCTCCGGGTTGCTCCGCACCAGCGAGAGCAGGACGATGTCGCTCTCCTCCCCTTGGAAGTCGTCCACGGTGCAGACGGCCACCTTGGCCATGTCCCTCCTGGCCAGCAGCTGCCGGACGGTGGCCACTTGGCTGCTGTAGGGCGTCAGGACGGTGAGCTGCCCCTTGCCGTAGCCCTGCTCCAGCAGGTACTTGCAGAGGTGCACCAGGAAAGCGGCTTCCGAGCGGTTGCTGTAGCTGCCGACGTGGCCGCCGCGGTCCTCACCCCCCGCGTGCTGGATGAAGAAGACGCTGCTCTCGATGCCCTGCCCGGGGCGGGGGGGACACACACACGCCGGCATCAGGGGACCGTCCCCCCCTCCCGCCCGCCCCACCGCGCTCTTCGTCCTCCCCCCACCTTGATCTTTCCGTAGCTGCCGACGGCCGGGTGGTCCCTCAGCGCCTCGTAGAAGAAGGGGACGAGCAGCTGGGAGATCTCGGGGCGCATGCGGTGCTGCCGGGGACAGGGCGGAGCGCTCGAGCCGCGGCGGCAGCCCCCTCGGCGCGGGGCGGTGCCGGCGCCGGGGGGGTCTGGCTCACCTGGCACAGCAGCTGCACGTGGGGGATCTCGTTGTTGATCATCCGCTCGAAGAGGGAGATGCCGAGGCAGTATTTCTTCTCCAGGGTGTAGTCGGCCGGTTTGGGTCTCAGCTGCAAAGAGAGGGTGGCTCGCCGAGGGGTGCCGGCGGGCGCCGGGGCGCGGGGCCGGGGCGCCGTACCTGCTGGTGGTCCCCGATGAGGATGAGGTGCTTGCAGGAGGCGGTGAGGCAGGTCAGGACGTGCGCCTCCAGGATCTCCGCGGCCTCTTCCACGATCACCGTCTGGGGCCGGACGCTCTGCAGCAGCTTGCGGTACTTGGCAGCGCCTGGAGCCGGGGACGAGCCGAGTGAGGCAGCCGCCACGCTGGTGGGGTCCAGCCAGCACCCCGTGGGACGTGTGTGTCCCCCCCCCGGGTTCTGCCACCCCGGGCTCCTCATCCGCCTCCCACGGCACCTTTGGGAGCAGGCGCCGGCTCCGGCACCACCAGCACCAGCACCGGGGATGGCACCAGCAACACCACTAGCACTGGCAGTGGGAATGGCACCAGCGGTACCACCAGCACCGGCACTGGGGATGGCACCAGCAGCACCAACACCGGGGATGGCACCAGCACCAACACCGGCACTGGGGATGGCACCAGCAGCACCGGCACTGGCAGTGGGAATGGCACCAGCGGTACCACCAGCACCGGCACTGGGGATGGCACCAGCAGCACCAACACCGGGGATGGCACCAGCACCAACACCGGGGATGGCACCAGCACCGGCACCGGGGATGGCACCAGCACCAGCACCAACACCAGGGATGGCACCAGCACCGGCACCGGGGATGGCACCAGCACCAGCACCAACACCAGGGATGGCACCAGCACCGGCACCGGGGATGGCACCAGCACCAGCACCAACACCGGGGATGGCACCAGCACCAGCACCGGCACCGGGGATGGCACCAGCAGCACCGGCACTGGGGATGGCACCAGCACCAGCACCAACACCGGGGATGGCACCAGCAGCACCGGCACTGGGGATGGCACCAGCACCAGCACCAACACTGGGGATGGCACCAGCAGCACCGGCACTGGGGATGGCACCAGCACCAGCACCAACACCGGGGATGGCACCAGCAGCACCGGCACTGGGGATGGCACCAGCACCAGCACCAACACCGGGGATGGCACCAGCAGCACCGGCACTGGGGATGGCACCAGCAGCACCGGTACCGCGTTGCCACCGGCACTGGCACGGGGAGCAGCACCAGAAATGGCACCGGCACTAATCCCGGCACGGTGTCTCTCTCACCCGTGGTCGTCATGCCGATGACGCGGCTCTGCCTGAGGATCCGCAGGTCCTGCTGGAGCTGGTGCTGGGCCAGCTGGGCCGCGCTGCGCTCGTACTCCCCCAGCCACCTCACCAGCAGCTCCTCCTGCTCCGCGCTGTAGGCGCCCAGCCACCGCCTGCCGCCGGCACGGGACGGCGTCACCGCGGGGGGGGACAGCCCCGGGACACCGGCACGGGCGGGGGGCCGTGTCACCGGCCTCACCCCCCTCCCCGGGGACCCGCCGTGGCGGGGGGACAGACCTGTAGAGCCGCCAGCGGTCGCTGAGCCGGAGCTGCCAGAGGCTCCTCAGGCGCTCGACCTCCTCATCGCCCATGGCATCGCTGTCCTGCAGCCGGCGGGCCAGCTGGGTGTCCAGCGGGCTGGGGACGGACAGACGGACATAGCCATCAGGCCCCCTCCCCGGCGAGCCCCAGCGTGTCCCCGGGGTCCCGGCCACCGGGGGGGTGCGGGGCCATACCCCTCTTCCTCGGGGATGATGTAGGCAAATTTCTCCCGGGCTCGTCTCCTCTCGGCCTCCGTGGCGTCGAACTCCTCCTCCTCCTCATCCAGGCACCGCTCGTCCCCGCGCAGGTCCCAGCTCTCCTCCGCCCCTGGGCCCCCCCGGGCCCCCCCGGCCCCTTGCTCCGTGCCTGGGGGCAGAGCCGTGGGAGCTGGCGGTGACCCCGTGGGACGTGTGTGGGGGGCTGTGCCCCGGGGTACCCCACGGGGCAGCGTGGTGACGAGGACAGCCCCCCTCCTGCCCCCCGGGCAGCCCCATGCCTGCACCCCCCTCTGCCCGGGGTCCCCACCCCCGGGGCTCCCGCTCCTGCTGGGTTTGCTCCTGCTGACCCGATGCCAACCGGGGTGGGGGGTGTCCCCAAATTCCCCCCGCCCCATAAGCCTGGCTGGGGCTAAAACCAGCAGCGGGGGTCACCTGCCACGTGGCCCTGGCCTCGTCGTGGGCTCCCGTTCTCCGGTGGCACCGGGACCTGCACCTCCAGCCACCGCAGCATGTCCAGATGCACAGCACCCTGCGGGGGCGAGGCTGGATTTAGCCCCGGCCCCCCCCGTCAGGGCTGTGGCGGCCGCCCACTCCCCCACCTTGAAGAGCAGGTCGTCCTTCATGATCTCGGTCTCCAGCTCGGTGGCGGTGAGGATGCCGCGGCGGAGCAGCCCCAGCACCTCCATGTGGAAGGCGATGGTCCTCTCCTGCTCCTGCAAGGCGCTCCACATCTGGGGGGGGAGCCGGGAGCCACTGGGGTGAGGCGAGAGCGGGAGGGGGCAAGTCCCCGCGGCCAGCGAGCGGCTGGGTGGGCGATGGGGGGAGAGGGGCCCAGCCCCGTACCTGCGCGTGCTGCCGGCGGCTGCTGGGCACCCACACCTCCCGTTGCCGGAGCAGCTGGAGGGAGCAGCCCTTCACCTTCTCGCTTTGGCACTTGCCCCCGATCCGCACCACTTTGGAGGGCTGGAACTGGAGGATGCCTGGGAGAGGAGAGGGGCAGGTTGGCAGACTGTGCGCCAACCCCACGGCTGTGCCCAGCCTGTCCCCCGACACAATGGCCATGCCCAACCTGCCCGGTGACCCCACGGCCATGCCCATCCTGCCCAGTGACCCCACGGCCATGCCCAACCTGCTCAATGACCCCAAGGCCATGCCCAACCTGCTCAATGACCCCACGGCCATGCCCAACCTGCCCGGTGACCCCACGGCCATGCCCAACCTGCCCAGTGACCCCACGGCCATGCCCAACCTGCTCAATGACCCCACGGCCATGCCCAACCTGCCTGGTGACCCCACTGCCATGCCCAACCTGCTCAATGACCCCACGGCCATGCCCAACCTGCTCAATGACCCCATGGCCATGCCCAACCTGCTCAGTGACCCCACGGCCATGCCCCACCTGATCAATGACCCCACGGCCATGCTCAACCTGCCCAGTGACCCCATGGCCATGCCCAACCTGCCCCGTGACCCCACGGCCATGCCCAACCTGCCCGGTGACCTCACGGCCATGCCCAACCTGCCCGGTGACCCCAAGGCCATGCCCAACCTGCTCAATGACCCCACGGCCATGCCCAACCTGCCCCGTGACCCCACGGCCATGCCCAACCTGCCCGGTGACCTCACGGCCATGCCCAACCTGCTCAATGACCCCACGGCCATGCCCAACCTGCCCGGTGACCCCACGGCCATGCCCAACCTGCCCAGTGACCCCACAGCCATGCCCAACCTGCCCAGTGACCCCACGGCCATGCCCAACCTGCCCGGTGACCTCACGGCCATGCCCAACCTGCTCAATGACCCCACGGCCATGCCCAACCTGCCCAGTGTCCCCACGGCCATGCCCAACCTGCCCGGTGACCCCACGGCCATGCCCAACCTGCCTGGTGACCCCACGGCCATGCCCAACCTGCTCAGTGACCCCACGGCCATGCCCAACCTGCTCAATGACCCCATGGCCATGCCCAACCTGCTCAATGACCCCACGGCCATGCCCAACCTGCCCGGTGACCTCACGGCCATGCCCAACCTGCCCGGTGACCCCAAGGCCATGCCCAACCTGCTCAATGACCCCACGGCCATGCCCAACCTGCCCAGTGACCCCACGGCCATGCCCAACCTGCTCAATGACCCCACGGCCATGCCCAACCTGCCCGGTGACCCCGTGGCCATGCCCAACCTGCTCAATGACCCCATGGCCATGCCCAACCTGCCCAGTGACCCCATGGCCATGCTCAACCTGCCCAGTGACCCCACGGCCATGCCCAACCTGCTCAATGACCCCACGGCCATGCCCAACCTGCCCGGTGACCTCACGGCCATGCCCAACCTGCCCGGTGACCCCAAGGCCATGCCCAACCTGCTCAATGACCCCACGGCCATGCCCAACCTGCCCGGTGACCCCACGGCCATGCCCAACCTGCCCCCCCAACCCAATGGCCATGCCCAACCTGCCCAACAACCCCACAGCCATGCCCAACCTGCCCAGTGACCCCATGGCCATGCTCAACCTGCCCAGTGACCCCACGGCCATGCCCAACCTGCCCGGTGACCCCACAGCCATGCCCAACCTGCCCGGTGACCCCACGGCCATGCCCAACCTGCTCAATGACCCCACGGCCATGCCCAACCTGCTCAATGACCCCACGGCCATGCCCAACCTGCCCGGTGACCTCACGGCCATGTCCAACCTGCTCAATGACCCCACGGCCATGCCCAACCTGATCGATGACCCCACGGCCATGCTCAACCTGCTCAATGACCCCACGGCCATGCCCAACCTGCCCAGTGACCCCACGGCCATGCCCAACCTGCTCAGTGACCCCACAGCCATGCCCAACCTGCCCGGTGACCTCACGGCCATGCCCAACCTGCCCGGTGACCCCACGGCCATGCCCAACCTGCTCAATGACCCCACGGCCATGCCCAACCTGCCCGGTGACCCCACGGCCATGCCCATCCTGCCCAGTGACCCCACGGCCATGCCCAACCTGCTCAATGACCCCACAGCCATGCCCAACCTGCCCAGTGACCCCACGGCCATGCCCATCCTGCCCAGTGACCCCACGGCCATGCCCAACCTGCTCAATGACCCCACGGCCATGCCCAACCTGCTCAATGACCCCACGGCCATGCCCAACCTGCCCGGTGACCCCACGGCCATGCCCAACCTGCCCCCCCAACCCAATGGCCATGCCCAACCTGCCCAACAACCCCACAGCCATGACCACCCTGCCCCCCAACCTCCCCGCCAGCCTGTGCCCACCCGCGGGCCGGTGTGGTGGCAGTGCTGCCCCGCGGCGAGCCTGGCCCCAGTCGGTTACCGCCGGGGTGTGACGGGCGACAGCGATGACACCCACGAGCGCCCCGCTGCCGGCGAGACGAGCCCGCTGCTGGCTCGGCCCGTGCCAGGCACGAGGCGTCTGCGGGGAGAGAGCAGGGCGTGGGGACAGGACCGGTACCTTCCATGAACTGGTCGAGGGCGTGGTTGGTGTAGCAGACCACCAGGAGGGGCGACTGGTCCCCCGCCGCCTCCCGGTCCTGGTTTCGCAGCAGCAGCTCCGCGATCTTGAGCCCGATGAAGGTTTTGCCTGGGGAGGAAAGCGCCGGCGTGCGCTGGGGGCAGGGAAGGCTTCGCTCTGCCCCCGCGGACCCCCGGGGCGGACGGTGTGGGGGGGGGCAGCGCTGGGGTGCCGGCGCCAGCACCTACCCGTGCCGGGGGGGCCCTGGATGAGCGCGAACTCCCTGCTCAGCGCCAGCCGGATGGCTGCGAGCTGAGACTCATCCAAGTGGGGAAAAGTCTTCGGGGACCAGATCTCCTCGTCCTCCAGGCTCACGGCGGAGAGGTCCACCGCCGGCTCCTCTCTCTGAGACCGAAAGTGAGGATGAGGCGCCCGCGGCATCGCACCCCGGCCGGGCTCTGCCCGCTGCGGCCACGGTCGAGGGCAGACGGCTTCTCCGCGTCCCCGCCGCGACTCACCTTCCCCGCGCCGGCCGGCAGCAGCGGCGCGAGGCTGAAGAGCCTGTCGGCACCGAGGTGCGCGGGGCGGCGGACGGAGGGCTTGCAGTGCACCAGGTAGCGGCTGAAGGGCACGGCGGCGGGGCTCAGCTCCTGCAGCCCCTCCAGCACGTGCCGGTACGCCTCGAAGAAAGCCGGCGACTCCACCATGGTGAAGCTGGTTCTTCCCAGGTGGGCGAGGAGCTGCTGGTGGCCGTGGTTCTGGATGTGCAGCCAGACGCGGTCCCGGTGGGTCGCCTGCTGCTTCCGCATCCCGGCCACCACCCCGAAGAGGACGTGGCTGCAGTCCTCGGAGAGGAGGCAGGTGAGGGAACCGCTCTTCAGGCGGTCGGCGGCGGCCGGGCCGGCGTGGGGTGGGAAACGGGCCAGGTAGACAGAGCCGGCCGGCGTGGCGGCTACGGCGTGGAGCTGCACCCCCCGGTAGAGGCTGAGCGCCGCGCCGTCGCCGTCGGGGCCGCCGAGGGAGAACGCGGCCGCGATGCCGTCCCGCAGCGGCTTGAGGAAATCCTCCCGCAGCAGTCGGAAGTGCAGGTCCAGGTAGGCTGCGGCGCTCTCGTGAGCCCCGCGCTGCAGGTTGGGGCGCAGCCGGCCCCCCGCCTCCCCGAAGAGCTCCTCGGGCGCGGGGATCACCGGCACCTCGCGGAAATCCTCGCGCCAGGCGCCGGCGGGGAGGTGGCGGGGGGGGAAAGCCGCGTCCACCCGGCGCCGGGCGTCGTGGAGGCGCTGCTGGGTGAGCCAGCAGAACTGGAAGCCGCGGGCCTGGAGCCGCTGCACGGTGCAGAAGAGGAGGTCCACGGGGTAGCAGAGCAGCGTCTGCACGTGGCCCGGGCAGGCGGTCAGCAAGCGGTGGAGAGCGGCCACCGTGTCCCCCACCACCTCCTGGGAGACCTGTCCTGCCCGGCACTGGAAGGCGTCCAGCTCGGTGATGAACCTCAGCAGATCCCCCAGGATGAAATCCCGGGTCAGCAGCAGGGTCAGGAAGGTTGAGGGGGGCTTCCGCGGCCCACTCTGCTCCAGCACGACCCCGAGGGCCCGCAGCAGCACGTACACTTGTGCCGGGCTCAGGTCGCGGCGGGCCAGCAGCCGGCCCAGCTCCAGCTCGTGGTCCCGCAGGAAGGGCAGGAGGTGCCGGGGGCTGCCGTCGCAGAGCCGCTCCAGGCTGCCCAGGAGGTCGGGGGGCTCCCTGCCGTGCCCCGGCTCGGGGGGGGACCGGCTGCTCCGTAGGTCAGCCCAGTCCCCCTCGGGGCTCGCCGACCGCCAGCGCTTCGGGCTGCGGGGCGGGGAGAGGCCCCGGCGGGACGGGGGGACGCGGCGTCGCATCGGACCCTGCAGGGACGGGGACGGGGACGGGTGGCCCCGGGGCTGCGGCTGCAGGGAGGGTGTGGGGAGTGTGGGGGGGGTGGGGATGGGCGCCTGCACCCCCTGCCCAGTTGGCCCTGGGCCTGTTCACCCGCCCCGGGGAATCCCTTGGGACCATGCGTGGGGCACAGCCACCCCACGGTGGGGTCCCAAGCTGCCACCAGCGCCGGGAATGGCCTGGACGGGGCCGAGATGGGCTCTGGGGATGGTCCGGGAAAGGTACCGGGGATGCTCTGGGGATGCTCGGGGAAATGTACCAGGGATGCTTCTGGGATGCTCCAGCGATGCTCCAGGAAAGGTTCCAGGGATGCTCCGAGAAAGGTGCTGGGGATGCTCTGGGAATGCTCCAGGAAAGGTACCAGGGATATTCCAGGGATGCTCCGGCAAAGGTACCGGGGATGCTGCGGGAGGGCTCCAGGAGGGCAGCCGAGGGCGGCTCCGGCACTTCCTGGCCCGAGGATTCTCGTACGGAGAAACAGAAACTGCTGCTGGAAGCGCCGCCCTCGGGACCGTACCGGGACCGCCCCGGCGGCAGCATCGGGACCGCCCCGGCACCGCACCGGGACCGCTCGGGATCGCACCGGGACCGCCCCGAGACAGCCCCGGGATCACACCGGGACGGCACCGGGATCACACCGGGACAGCCCCGGAATCACACCGGGACAGCCCCGGGATAACAACACCCGGACAGCCCCGGGATAACAACACCCGGACAGCCCCGGGATCACACCGGGACAGCCCCGGGATCACACCGGGACGGCACCGGGATCACACCGGGACGGCACCGGGGACAGCACCGGGACCGCCCCGGGATCACACTGAGACGGCACCGGGATCACACCGGGACCGCCCCGGGAACAGCATCGGGATTCTGCTCCTCACGGGGGCATTGGCCACCCCGAGACCTGCTGGGTGGCCACCGTGGCCAGGGCCAGGCGACCACCGTGGGACTCGGCGGGGAGAGCCGGGAAGCTGCTTCGCCCCGCCGAGGAAGGGCCGGGAGGGTCACAGTGACCGTGGGGCTGTGACCGCGGTCAGGCGTGGGGTTCCCGGGGGTGCGCCCAGCGAAGGGACACGGGGCAGCACCGCGCCGCGACCCCCCACCCACGGGCGGCCGCCCCGCTCGCACTAGGACCCCGCGGCGCCGCGATAGGGGCGGGGCCAAGAGGGGGGGGGCGGGCGGCGTGAGTGGGCGCGGCCCTCCATTCCCATCAGCCCCTTTCCCCGCCGGGCTCCTCCTCCCAACCCCCCCCCCTCCCCTCCCGGCGGGATGCTTCTGATTGGCGCATCCGCGGCACCGCGCGGTGCTGATTGGCTGCCGGGCCCGCCCGTCGCCGCTGTTGCTAGGTGACGGCGGCTGTGGGGGAAGCGCCCGCCATGTTGGAGGCGGCCGTCATGGCGGCGGCGGAGGAGGCGGCGGCGATGGCGGAGCTGGCGGAGCTGCTGGCGCCGGCGGCGGGCGCGGCGGCGCGGGCCGGGGCGGCCGAGGCGGCGCTGTCGCTGTCGGGGAGCGCGGCGGGGCGGCGGCTGCTGGCGGGGCGTCCGGCGGCCCTGACGGCCTTGCTGGAGCTGGCGGCGGGGCCGAGCCCGCCGGCGGCCCGCGCCGCCCGGGGCTGCCTGGTGAACGTCTCGGCCGAACCGGCGGCCCGCGGCCCGCTGCTGGCCGCCCTGCCCGCGCTGCTGGGGCTGCTGCCGGACGGGCCGGCCTGCGGGGCGCTGGCCAACCTCTGCCGGGAGCGCGGCGCGGCGCGGCGGGTGCTGCGGGGCCTGCGGGAGCGCGGGGCCGGCCTGGCGCCGCTCCTCCGGGCCCTGGGCGAGCCCCGGCCGCCGCCGCAGCTCGGGCCGCTGCTCTGCAACCTCAGCCAGCTGCCCGAGGGTCGCCGAGGGCTTCTCGACCGCTGCCGGTGCGGCTCTGGGGCGGGACCCGGGGGCTGGGCGGCTCTCCGGCCTGCTGCGACCGTCCCTCTCCCGCAGGTGCTCGGTGCAGCGGTTGCTGCCCTTCACGCAGTACAAGGAGTCCGCCGTCCATCGCCGGGGAGTCGTGGGGGCTCTCAGGAACTGCTGCTTCGAGGCGGGTGAGAGCCCTGCCCGGCTCTGCCGGGACCCGAGGCGGGGCTGGTTCTGGCAGGGAGGGCGCTGGCTCTCCGCAGGGCTGCTGGGCTTTACACCGGCCACCCGGGTTTGGCCGGTGCTGAGCAGTGCTCACGCAGCATCAAGGCTGCCTCTTCTTCCTCACAAATGAGTAGGCTGGGGGGCGCGCTGGAGACTGGGAGGGGGCGCAGCCGGGACAGCTGGTGTGGGGACAGGCTGGGCATGGGTCTGTGCTGAGTGATCGGCGCCTTTGCATCGCTTGGTGCAATTTATTTTTGCGGGGTTTTTTACCTCTTCACTGACTGAACTGCCTTTATCTTGACCCATGAGTTTTTCTTGCCTTTGCCCTTCTGATTCTCACCCCAGTTCCACTGGTGAAGGGGGAGAGGGGGGAGGCTGGGTGGGGGCTGAGCTGCTGGCCAGGCTCAGCCCATCGCAGGGGCCCGGGCTGGGCTTTCTGCTCTATATGGTGACTCCCCTGACTCCAAACTGTCCCCAGAGGACCACGAGTGGCTGCTGGGTGAGGAGGTCGACATTCTGCCCTTCCTCCTCTTGCCTCTGGCAGGCCCTGAGGAGTTTCCTGAGGACGAGATGGAAAGTAAGTGGGTGTCAGGGTGGGACTGGGGGGGCTGCTGGCCGTGTGCCTCCCTCTGAGGCTGCCTCTCCCCCAGGGTTGCCCGTGGACCTGCAGTACCTGCCCCAGGACAAACAGCGAGAGGAAGAACCTGACATCCGGAAGATGCTGCTGGAAGCCATCATGCTGGTGGGTCCCTCTGGTGCAAATCACAGGACCCCAGGTCGGAAGGGGCCTCAAGGCTCAGCTGGTCCAACCTTGCTTGGCAAAATCCTGGTCTAGACCAGCTGGCCCAGCACCCTGTCCAGCTGACTCCTAGAAGTGTCCGGCGTTGGGGAACCCACCGCTGCCCTGGGGAGATTATTCCAGTGGCTGATTGGTCTCGTGGTGAAAAATCTTCTTCTTCTGTCCAGTCGGAATCTCCCCAGGAGTAACGTGTACCCGTTACCCCTCAGCTTTTCCGTGTGACCCCTCGTAAAAAGGGAATCTCCACCTTCTCTGTAGCCACCCTTTCAGTACCAGAACACGGAGATAAGGTCTCCCCTCAGCCTGCTCTTCTCAAGGCTGAGCAAACCCAATCCTCTCAGCCTTTCCTCACGTGCCCAGTCCCCTGATCGCCTCTGTGACCCTTCTCCGGACCGAAAAGTTTGCGTTATTGCAGGTGTGGCCCGGCAAGCGCTGAGCAGAGCCGGGTAATGACTTTGCTAGCTCTGCTCGTGATGCTCTTGGTGATGTGGGGCTGAGGGTGAGAGCCCAGGCTGGGGCTCCTGTGGGTAGAAAGGTGTTCAGGGCTGCCCCAAAATGCTCCATGTGCCCGGAGATCCTCACGGAGAAGTGATGGGCTGGGCTGGGCGAGCAGGCGGTGAGGGATTGAAAACTGGGCAGGCCCAGAGAGTGGTGGTCAGTGGCACAAAGTAGTTGGTGGCCAGTGACCAGCGGTGTGCTTCAGGGGCTGAGACGGGCTCCAGTCCTGCTCAGCGTCTTCGTTAATCCTGGATTAACGGATGGGTGCCGGAGCAGAGCGCACCCTCAGCGCTGGGAGGAGTGGCCGGTACACCGGAGGGTCGTGCTGGCATCCAGAGGGACCTCGCCAGGCTGGAGAAATGGGGGGACAAGGGTTTCGGGGACTTCAGTGGGGAGTTGGGAGCATCTGCTACGGGCGAGAGCCTGGAGAAGAGAAAGCTCAGAGGGGTTGAATCAGTGTCTGTAAATACCCGCAGGGAGGGAGTAAAGAGGAGCCAGGCTGTTCCCAGTGCCAGCACCAGAGGCCACGGGCACAGACGGGAACGCAGGAGGTTACATCTTGCCTGTCAGGATATGCTTTCTCCGCTGTGAGGAGAGCCCTGGCCCGGGTTGCCCAGTTTGGTCGGTGGGGTCTCCACCCCTGGAGACGCTCAGTGTGGACGTGGTCCTGGGCAGCCGGCTCTGGGTGGCCCTGCTTGCGAACCGGAGGTCCCTCCCCACCCAGCCAGCCTGGTTCCGTGGGTGAGAAGGGCCAACGAGCCGGTGTCCCCCTCTCCCTGCGGGCCGGCTCTCCAGCCCCGCTCATACCTTGGAGGGCTGTCCCCCCTCCCCTGGGGTCAGGGCGGCTCTGGGACAGCCCCTCCCCAGCTCTGAGGGGCAGCGGTGTCCCTCGCTCACGCTCGGCTGCTTTGCCTCCTCCGCAGCTCACAGCCACCAAGGCCGGGCGGCACATCGTGCGGGAGAAAGGGACGTACCTGATCCTGCGGGAGCTGCACCGCTGGGAGCGCGAGCCCGATGTGCTGGCTGCCTGCGAGAAGCTCATTCAGGTGGGGAGGGGGGGTCCCGGGGGGGGGGGGGGGGGGGGGGGGCAGGCAGCCTGGTGTTGGGGTGCAGCTGCTCCGAGGGCTCTGCTCTGCCTCTCCCGCCCTGCTGGGTTGTGGGGAGAGGAAAAATGGGGGTCCCCGGGGGGCAGGCAGCCCGCTGTTGGGGTGCGGAGCTGCTCTGAGGGCTCTGCTCTGCCTCTCCCTCGCTCCGCTCCCCGCCGGGTTGTGGAAAGGGGAGAAATGGGCGTCCCACCGGCCTTCCTCCCCTCCCTGAGCCTTCCTCCCCGCTCCTGGGAAAAGGTGCTGATCGGGGACGAGCCCGGCCCGGGGATGGAGAATCTGCTGGAGGTGAACATCCCCGAGGAGGTGGAGGAGCAGCTGCGACGCCTGGATCGGCAGGAGGAGGAGGAGCGGTGGCGGCGGGAGGAAGATGAGGAGGAGGAGGAGGAAGAGGCGCGGGGCTCGACGCCGTGCCCCGAGGAGCCGTCGCGGTGAGGGGCTGCCAAGCTCGGCGTTGCCCATGGACTGAGGCTGCCGGGACCCTCGGCCCGCCGGGGGGGGGGCAGCTTGGCCCCCGTCCTCCCCACCCCTCGCCAAGCAAATTGGGGGTCCTGTGGGACAGGGTTCCCCCACACTTCACCCAGCTCTGCCGCTCCCGCTGCGGGATGAGGCTGAAATGGGACACACACACACACACACACACACACACACACACACACACTGGGGAAGGGCCGAGCTGCCCCAAAGTGCCTTGTAAAATAAAAGGTTTTCAGCCCAAACCTGCTGTGGCCCCGAGGAGAGGGTGGGGGTGAGCGAAGTCAGGGGGTGTCCTGTCCCCATCAGCCCCACGGTGGGGGGGAATTGGGGTTCAAAGGGCCCCCACACACACACACACAAAACAATGACCTCCAATCAATAATTGTTCCTGGGGGAGAGCTCCCCCCCCCCCCCCCCCCCCCCCAGCCTGCCTTGGACTGGGGGTAACACCAAGGTGCTGGGAGGGAGGGGTCGAAGGGGCACCCCGAGGTCCAGGAGAGGGGATTCCCTCCCTCCCCCTTCTGTATCAGGGCACCCCAGGGTCCAGGGGAGGGGGTTTTCTGCACCCCTTCCACCCCCCCCCCATATTAGGGTACCCTAGGATCCAGGGGAGGGAATTCACCCCCTCCTGTATCAGGGTACCCCAGGTTCCAGGGGAGGGGATTCCCCACCCCCATATTGGGGCACCCTAAGATCTAGGGGAGGGCATTCCCCCCCCCCCCCCAATATCAGGGCACCCTGAGATCCAGGGGAGGGGACACACCACCCCCCCATCTGGGGGCACCCCGGGATCCGTGGGAGGGGATATCCCCACCCCCCCGTATTGCGGCACCCTGGGATCCAGGGGAGGGGATCCCCCCATACTGAGGCACCCCGGGATCCACGGGAGGGGATTTCTTCCCCCCCCCGCCCCCCATATCGGGGTACCCCGGGATCCAAAGCCGGGATCTGTCACCCCTCGGTGCGCATGCGCGCTGGCCGCGGCCCGACAGCGCGGTCGTCACCCGCGGGGCGGGGCCTCGGGGGAGGGGGCGTGTCCCGCCGGGAGGGGCGTGGCGTGGCGAGGGGGGCGTGGCGGGCTCACCCGGAAGCGGCGCCGGGGGCCGAGCGGGTCCCAGTCCGGCGGTGAGTATCGCCCCCCCCCCCCCCTCCCCAAATTCCCAGTTATCCCTCCCGATTCCCAGTACCCCCCCCCCCGCCTCGGCCAGCCGCCGGTGCCCCCCTCCCCGCTCCTGGGAGGAACAACCCGGCTGGGGGCCAAGCTCTGGTGCCCGTTACCGGGGGCTGGCAAGCCGGGAGGGTCACAACACCCCCTCCCCGGGCAGTGCGATTCCTTTTTTTTTTTTTTTTTTTTTTTTTTCCTTCCCCCCCTCGGCGCTAACCAGGGCAGCGCCTGCCTCCGTGACACCCCCCCCCCCGCTCCGGCGAACGTGGCTGTGAAAGGCCGCGGGGCCGTGGCGAGGGACCGGCGGCGGGGAAGGTCTCGAATGTCACCCTGAAATCCCATTTCACCGAGAACTCGCTCTTGTCTGGCCTGGAGCTGCTCAGTTAAAGCAGTTGAGCCTGACCCTACCCCCACGGCAGGGCTCCCGGGCTCTGAAGGCGCTGGAAACTTCACCCCCTCGCTTTCCGGCGGGGTTTTCGGGACAAATATTTGGGCTCGCAAACGGGGCACCCGCCTGGGGCTCGTCCTCCAAGCGCCGCCTCGCCGAACCCCGGGGCTGCGGTTGGGATTTCCTCACCCTGCCGCGCGGGACGGTTTGGCTTCCTACGAGCGCTCCGCTGATGTGAAACGTCCTCCCGTTTGCAGGTCAGGGAGGCGGAGGGGAGCGACACCCGGGATGCGGTCCCTCCGGCTCCCAGCTCTGTAGGGACGGTCCCGGGGGGCCGATGGAAACGCGGAGCCCCGGCGGTTGACCGCCCGCCTGCGAGGGACCGGTGTTTCGCCTTCCCCACGGCTGCTGCAGAGCATCTCCCCCCACCGCCCCGCGCCCGGCGTTGGCTTTCCGACCCCGCGCGGCACCGCGAACCGTCTTCTCCGTGAAGGTAAAGGCAGCGTGTAAAAATAGGGTCCCCAGGGATCCCCCGCTTTGAGACGGAGGAAGCCGCCAACTGCCTTCTGCTGGTGGGGAAGCTGAAAACGCGGAGCATGATGGAGTCCCGGATAAAACGTGAGCACGGTGGCGGGGGGCTCCTTCCCCGCGGCTGCGACCCGCCTTGGCCTTGGGCTGCTCCTTCTGCCCAGCCCCGGCGCAGCTTTCCGGCGCCTCTTCCGTGGGGCCGGGGCCGGGTGGGAAGTCTCTCTCGCTTAATAAAGCTAAATTGCCTCCCCGGTGCCCCGGGAGGAGCTCAGCCTCTGCGGCGAAGCAAAGAGCGAAGCGGCCGGCCGCGGGCTCCCTGCAGCATCGGGAGAGACGTACTGGTCGGGGACGGGAGGAGGGAGCGGTTCTCCGTGCACAGTAATTCCCTGCCCTAGAAATTCATCTCGGGCCTCGTCTCTACTGCAAATTGCATCAGCTTAAATAGTCTCTGAATGCTTAAACCGGTGTAAACCCCTGTGCATTTTCTAAATTAATCCCGGCCAGCTTTGAAATTAATCTCTCTTTTTTTTTGTTTGTTTTGTTTTAAAGGCAGTAAAGAATTTTCCGGTTTAATTAAGCCACGGGGGCGGGGCGGGGCGGGGTGGGAGCAGCGATTACCTTCACCAGCACCACCAGGTCACGTTGGCTTTAACGTGGCAGCGTGGCAAACATCTCCACACACACCCCCCCCCAACCTTGGGAAATGAAAACCCCTCAAGTGGGGCATCTTCTGGCTTGCAGTGGGGTGGGACTGTAGGGCAGGACGGGCAGCTCCTCGGCCGAGGCTGCGCGCAGTCGCCGGCCCCGCGGCGCTCTCCAGCCTCCTTGCAGCGCGCTCGCAGGCGACCCGCTCGGTAACTAATTAACCTTATTACGACAAAGGCCCCGGTGAGGAACACGCCGCTCCGCAATAACAATTCGGCTCGCGGAGCAGCGTCGCTGGCTGCTGGGTGTGAGGGAGCAGCTCTGGCCCGCAGCAGCGCAGGCACCTGGAAGGGTGGGAACACCGGGGAGGACTTTGCCGGGCATTAGCTCCTCGCTGACGGCATCCGCTCGCCCTCACGGAGCCTCAGGTTGTGGTGGGGTTCAGCGGCACGGCCAGGAGGGCCACGGGGGCTCCTCCAGCCCCGGGCCCTCAAAGACGTGCCCGTGGTAGGTCCCAGCCCTGTGCGGGTTCCGCAGACACCTCAGATGGTGCCAGCACCCGGCTGCCCAGCCCTGGTCTGAAATCTCCAGTGTAATAAATCCCTCCTTCTCCCTGCTCCAGCGAGAAACCTTAGAGCCAAGTTCACCTTGACTCAGAGGCTGCCGCGGCGCTGAGCAGCGTCCGTAGGGTCTGCGGTAAAAAAAAAAACAACCTGTGAGGTGCCCAGCCCAGCTTGGGGGATGAGGATGAATGAGCCCTTGGGGAGTAGGGAAGGGCTGCGTGCAGCATGCCTTCGTGTTAGAGGTGAGTTAGCTTGGGTGGTGAGCCCAGAAGAAGGGGCTTGATAGTGCTCGTTGAGTGGGAAGCAAAAGGGCCGATGAAGCTTAATTTATCTGTGCGCGTGGCTCGTGGAAGGATGGATGAAAACGCACAGAGTCGCCTCTTTTCCTGCGCTTGTTAGTCCGGGGGATGTTCAGAGAATGCAACAATCTTTGCAACTTGCCTGTCCTGCTCAGGGCTTGCTACGACATTGATGGATGCCACCACAGATAAGGACCCGCTAGTCCAGGAGCAGATCTACAATGCTCTGTGCTACCTGGGGGAATCCGAGCCGGAGGAGATCCTCAACTCCTGCGACGAGTACCTCCGGCAGCACGACAAGGTAGGGCTCTGCTCCGCTCGGTCCCGGGAATGTCAGCGGGATGAGGGATGTTTCCGGGCAGCTCGGGGATGTCGGCTCTGTCAGCAAGAGAGGGAGATGCCTGGGGAGGATCTGGGCTACCGGGGCGGTGGACCGGCTGGCTGAGAAGTCTGCTCCGAGGCGCTGGAGCTGCACGGTTGAAGAAATGGTGATAATATGCCATTGGGGATGAGGAACGGGGTAGAGCTGATGGGTGGTCCAAGTCGTTGCCCTTTCCTGCGCAGGCTGCGTGGTGGAAATGCTGGCGGGTCCCTTGCCGGGCCTCTCGCAGCCCGGGGGGGCTCAGGGACCCGCAGGTTTCACTTGCCCCACGGCAGCTGAGGTGTCTGTGCTCAGCCTGGCTCACCGGCCGCTTTCTCCCTCCCTTTTCAGCTGGCTTACCCTCACCGGGTGATCATCCTGAAGGCGATGGAAACCGTGGTGAAGAGCAACATTGCCCTCTTGGACAAAAGCACGGCCAAGGTCGTTATCTTCCTGGCGTCTAGTGAGATGACCAAGTCAAAGGTACGACCTGAAAGCTCCGGCTCCACCTGTCGTTGTCCTTTCTGCTCGGACGCCGTCGTTGCAGTAAATGCTGTGGGTCTGGGGCTGCCCCAGTGGCAGCAGTTACTGGGACCCCTTTTGGGGAGGGGAAGGGATAATGACACGCAGCCTTCTGGACTTGGGATGGTGGAGGGAGAAGGGGATGGGCTACGTTCCTCTCTCTGGGCCGAGAGGAGGACGGTTTGGCGGGTGGTGTTCTTCCAGCACGACATGCATGCACAGCGAAGTAAAAGGTGGACGCTGAGAAGGAGCTGGACGGGCAGGTTGGTGTTGGGGCAGGGAGGAGGCCGTGCCTCGAGAGGCCCCAGGTCCGTGCGGGGAAAAGATCGCGTCTGAGTCTTGAGCCTGTGGTTCAGCCCGCCCCGTGCAGTCCCCCACGGCGTTTGGAGCCGGGTGTGACACATGGCATTGAGACGAAGCAGAAGCAGGCTCCCAGGGAGGCTGCGGGGCTGACGCCGTGCCTGCTCTGACGCCGTTTCCCCCGTCCGCGCCAGGAGGTGATCCGGGACTGGCAGCAAGCCGCCAGCAACGTCCTCGTTGCGGTGGGGCAGCGCTTCATCAACAAGGTGATGGAGGAGGTGCTCACCAAATTTCAGCCGGGGATCCTGCCGCACTACTTCGTCGTGCAGACGTTTGCAAACCTCTCGGTGTCGAACGGTGAGTTGGCAGCCCGCCTGCCCTGCCTGCGGGTCTGCCGTGGAAAGAGCCGCGGGAGCGTAGCGTGCCCGGGGAGGGGGTGTGGGGGGGTTGGAGTGCACCCTGTGCCCAACC